AAAAAAAAAGAGTAACAAAATAATAATAATAATAATATAATGAGCCTTACATCCTTCATTCGCATCCTCCAGCAAACGGTATAACCGCACAGAAAAAAAACTAGAAGTTAATACATAGTAATAGCAATAAGGATACAAATACCCCTACATCCTCTCACAACCCAACACATCAGAGAAGCCTTATCTCTTTTATCCCTCGCCCCCTCAAGAAGCCAACCAGGCCCCCACACATCTTTCAGAGAAAACCCAAATTTCACCCTACATCTTCGCCATCCTTACGTTCAGAACGCACCCTAAGACACTAACTAAATGCCAAACAAAATGCGCGCGAGGTTTGCGGGGATGAAGGAGGCCCTCAATCAAGCGGGGTCCCCAACGCAGGGGCCTGGGCGCGCTGCAATGGCACCATCCACCCCGCCTCCCCCGGCGCTGCCACACTAGCGCGGCAGCGCCGCCGGGCGATAAAAGCCCCCGCACCACTGAAACCAACACCGGCGGCTTGGTCAGTAGCGTGGCGCCCCCCCCCACAAAGCTGCCTCGCTGCGGTCCAAGAAAGGCCAAACGGGCCAGCGCCACCCGAAGGAGGCTGCATCGGCGGACGCGCCGGCAGGCAACACACGCCAAGGTCCTCGTCCGCCCTTGGGACTTCTACTAAGCCGCCACCATCCCTCCACGTAAAAAAGCAATAAAAACAAAAAAGCTGCACTCGCCGCTCCCCACCGCAGCATTGTTGGAAGCACCAGGTGGCCCATGCAGAAACAGGCCCCCCCCAACGGGGCTCCCACACGCCCTCGCCTAGACTGGCGGAGTCGCAAGTTCTCGCAACACGTTTCAAGAAAACAACAAAAAAACACGCTTTATTATCATTCCCTCTACAAAATACGGGATACACGAATTTTTAAGTATCAAAAGGGCTTGGGCCATGTAAAAGACAAAGGCGTGCGCCGCTCCCCCCACAAACCGATCGCTGACAAGCTCAAATAAGGGGAGAGCAGGATACCAAAAAATAACCAAATAAATAATAAAAATGCATACACCTCCACCCACTAACGCGGTCACTGACGCGGGCACTAACGGACGTAGTCACCGCCTCTGGAACAACGAATAACACAAATACAAAGTGTGGGTGGAGGCGTCTTAGATGCCTCCGTTTTTTGCTGGTGCCATTTTTACATTGTTCCATGACATTCTTGGTCATGTTATCAATGACACCATTTGCCGCATTTAAATTTTACCATTGTCCGTTTTTTTTTTTAAACCACTGTCTCCTCTCATTTTTGTACTGACGCTATTTCCTGTCGCTACAGTGTGGCTACACCTGCAGCACAGCCTCAGCACTGATGGCAGTAGCAGTGGTGCCAAGGATCAAACGTTCCCGGTCACAGAAGCCGGCGCTCACAGCACCGCCTGCACATGCACCAGCGTCATCAGGTAAGACATAAGAAATACCGAAAATGGAAGTGGTGAAGAAGGATAAGTGGGGATGTTAAAGAACCGGGCACAAACACTATGACTGAAGACTATTTCCTTCAGCAGTATGCTCGGCATAAGGCGCCTCGACCACGTCCTGCTCAGATTGCAGCTGGGAAGGCGGCGCCATCTCTTCGGCCAGCCTCGCCCGGGTGAAGCGCGAAAATCGCCAGTGCACCAACACAGCCACGCATGCTGACAACAGGTTGATGCCCATCAGAATAAACATCTGCTTCCGCACACACGAGGGCGCGTTGCATGAGGGGAACTCGCCACGCTTGCGCCCCTCCGCATCGTACATCCCTCCAAACAGAAAGCGGTTCAGCGCGATGGACGCAACTGCTGCGGAGGTGCGCATGAAGCTGTAGTGCTTGCCAATATCCTTGGCATACATCATCCGGGAGGCAATGATGCCTATACTCCAGGCAATACCGTTACTGAAGGACCCAAGCAAAAACGGCAGCAGCAAGGCTTTCCCAGGTACCACACCAAAGAGGAAGTACGCCACCGCAAACATCAGGGGGGCAACGGGAAGCGCAATGGTCGTCAGAATTTTTGTCTTGCCTGCACGATTCCAAGCAGTCAGCTTCATGTCGAAGTATCCCATAGAGATACGCCCAATGGCGGTGCCCACAGACATGATGGCGATGTAAAGTGTCAGAGTTCGGCTGTCATACACGCCGTAGTTCGTGCTGCGGCTGATCTGTGCAGCGTTCATCTGCATCACTGGACCGGTGCCCCACATGCCAAAGCTGGTGAGCCACAGTGCCCACAGGTGGAAGGAGAACAAATGCGACCAG